CCCCTGATTGCTGAAGTCTGGGGAAGCTACACCTCAAATAGTCCAAATGTCAGCTCAGTTTTTTGTTCATTTGAATTTTACTTTTTTATTTTGGTATTATATTGAAATTAAAAAGAAAAAATTATGAAGTCTTAACTCTAAATTGCATTGCACTACGCCACCGCCTAACTTATTAGATGAAAGATAATTTTTTAATAATAAAATTTGTTTTTATATGTTATGATTTTTTAATTTTTGTTTTTAAGTGTGTGTTTATTATATATTTTTGTTATTAATTTATATAAAAAATTATGAAAATAAATTTATTTTTAACATTAATAAAACATAAAATAAGACAATTAAATAGTTAATAAAATTTAAATTAACTTATTTATACAAATTAATAATAAAAATGTATAATAATTGTACATTTAACATAAGTTCTGAAAAAAATTTCATATTTTGTAATTCTTGTTTTCTAATCTATGGAGATATTATGTTGTTAATTTTGAATTCTCGAGCCTAAGAAAAATAAACCTGTGGCGTTTTCATTTTTCGTGTGTAATATTTGGTCATGAAATAAAAATACAAGAAAAGAAAAAACCAAAACATCTAATGTCAAGGTTGTGGAGAAAATTGTTTAAACACTTTTTTAGTTTTTTAATTTATTTAAAATATTAAAAAATTTTCATTATCCTATATGATATTTTAATAGCATTAATTTAATTTTTTGCAACCCCAAAAAATGTTCCCTCTAAAACATACTTTAGCTATCAGGGATGGCCTTAAATATTGCTGTGAATCATCATTTTCATAATATTATTGTTGAAACTAATTGCCAAGTTGCTTATTTGCTCTTGTCTGGTGCTCCCAACATGTTCTACCTTTATAGCACTCTTATTATGCATTGCAGGATTCTTTTGCACATGATTCTCCAAGTCCAAGTGAAGAATGTGTTCAAAGAGGCCAACATGGCTGCCTAGGCACTTGCATCTTAAATTGTTTTATTCCTTATTCCTTTTCTTCATCCCCTTCCCTTCTTCATCTTTTTTTTTTTTTTTTTTGAGAATGGCAATAGTTAGAAGTGTTAGAATGTTAGAGGTGTTAGAAGTGTTAATGTATAAGGAGGGTATTGAATCCGAGACATGAGATGCAAATTACGGCCTGCTCCAAAGGGCAACAAGTGGCCGTTGTGCCACGCACGTGGAATACCTTCCCTTCTTCATCCTTGGTCTAAGGGTTTTGGTTGCTTCGCTTGTAGCAGCTGATGCGGCATCAAATGGTAATTCTTTCTCTCTACATTTTCGTCTCAAATTGATACTGTTTTCTTTATTTCTCATATGGCTTTGTTTGATAGGTCCAAATTAACGGAGTAATATCTATATATATATATATGTATATATATAAAATCAAAAACATATAATAAGGACAATTAAAAGAGTGAGGAGATCTGCAGGGTGGATGCTGAGTAGAGAATATTGGATGAGACAAGAACTCCAAATTTCCTTTTAAAGAATTTCATACGTAATGAAGTGAAGCTCCCTTCCGTGGAGTATATATTTTTCCTCTCTCTCTCTTTTTTTCCCCCTATTTTAAGAAAATGATAAATAAATTTTATGTATAATTATTTTTAGAGTAATGATACAAGCACCGATACTTGCAGGACGAATTTAAAGGGCGACTTACATGGTTGTAAAATTTTATCCCTTTTAATAAAAACCCAAATCAGTCAGTGGAGTTAGGGTCTGTGTGCGTGGCAAGTCACGTAAGTTGTCCCTTAAATTCGTTCTGTAAGTATCGGTGCCTGTATCATTACTCTTATTTTTATCTTTATTAAAACTTGTAATATTATGTATATTTATTTATATAACATTAAAAGTTGTAAATTATTTACATACTCCGTATTATTTATATTATTGCCATAATTAATCTTCCTTTTTGTTGAATTCATTTTCCTCTTTTATTTTTTCATTCATAATAAATTCTTTTAAATATAATTGTTGAATAGGAAGGAAAATAAATCAAGGAAAAGATCATTAAAACGTATTTGTCTTTGAAAATCTTATATGTATTTATAATCTTTAACAAAAGCAATAGTAAAAAATAAGGAAAAAAAATCCCAAGAAAATCAAGGGCTCTTATTCCCATCACTTTTTCTTTTATCAATACATCCTCACTTTTTTCTTTTTTTTTTTGGTTAGAAAAAGAAAGATTGTGGCTTTTTGGGAGATGTGGAAGATATTCACGATAAACGAGCTGGGAGGGAATGAATAAAAGAGAAGATATAAAAGCAAAGGTTTTTGTTTTGGAAAAAAAAAAAAAAAACTACTTTGTTTTTTTCTAGGAGGAAAACCCTAGAAGAAACTTCTTTTGCACATTCGCATCACAATGAGGAATTGGGATTCCTCACAACACTTGATCATCCACTTGGGGAAAAATTCATGGAATCCATTCATTTCATGTTGTTAAGGAATGTGAGGATAGCTTCAATTGAAAAAGCATCAATTCGCTCGGCAACTGATTTATTCACATTTAACATGATTTGGAATATACAAAAATTATCACAAAATTAAGAATCCTAGTGAAATATAACTAATTTCCTGATGTGAAACATTTTGAGGAATTAGGAAAATGATGATATATGAATTGGGCTATAGAATGTTTTAAGATTTTTTTTTTTTTTAGATTTTGCTTTGTTTTTGTTAATGGGTCAACCCCAACTTTTTTTTTTAGATTTTGAATTGCACAATAGGAGGTAATATATTTTTATTCTTTAATTCATTTTATTCGTATATCATACAATTCGAATTCTAAATTAAAATTATCATTCAATTATTTAGATTAATAACAAAATAAATTCAATAATTAATACTACTAGTAAAATGATCAATAGACGTCGATATTTTACTTTAACGAACTTAGATTTAGCAGTACTCATTAGGGAAGAATAAATAAATTGATAAGGTTTGAATAATGATAAATAGAATCAAAATTTAATATTAATGATGTGATATAAATTATATTATTTAAAATATTAAAAGGTGAATATTATATTATTTAATAATTAATTTTTTTATTTTTTTAAAACTTATAATATTATATATAAAAATTAATTTAATAATATAATTTATATAATATCATTAATTTTAAATTTTCATACTAAATTTACGTTAACCCTATCATTACTCATAAGGTTTATAAAGTAAAGAACTGGTTTAGAAAATCTTTAGTTCACCGACCAAAAAACTTCCAATAAGGTAAGATAATCCCTGATTTCCAGGACAGTGAGTTAAGAAAAATCTTCAAACTACTTTTGAACACTATATCCACCAACACTAATATTATAATCATTAAAATTATAAGATGTTTTTTTTTTAAATATTAATTAATATTGTTTAATTTAATTTAATTTAATGTCCAGCACTTAGATGCCAACTGACCTCCCTACAAGGCAAGACATGCTTAAAACTAGTTGAATTTGAGTTCAATCCCAAATCCCTCCTTCCCCGTCCCCCCATCCCTTGAATAAAATGCTCATTGTTCAAAAAAAAAAATGTTTAATTTAATTGATAAAATAATTATAATTAATAATTAATAAATTAATATTTTAAATATTATTTAAAAAATTTTAAAAATTTTAATAATATTAAAATATTAATAGGGTCAATAATTACACTTATAATAATAATAACAATAATAATAATAATAATAATAATAATAATATGTAAAAATGGATTTGTCATACCCCAGATCCATGGAAATTGTGATTGTTACATCTGTCACCTTCAAACCACATATGCACCTAACGCCAAACAAAACAGTAGAACGTTTTTTTTTATAAGGAAAATAATTAATAGGTTAATATTATTAAGAATTAGTAATTGAAGATTTGATTTTAAATTTGATCACCGATCTCAATAAAACGCACGGTGATAACAATCGGTAAAGTTCAACAGTAAAACACTTTCGAAAAAAGATTTAATGGATAATCTTAACTAACATTACTTTTTCATTTTTTTCTAATATGACCCACCAATTTCAAACCCACCGTACCATCACATATTTT